ACTTAGGGTGAGTCAAATGCAAAAAGAGCAATGAGAAACAAATCTTTGGCCAAGTACAAACACAGACTTTCAGAGAGCATGGTGACCAGATAACAGCCATGCTGCATTTAGGCCTGTTGTCAAGTTACTGACAGGATTAATTAGCGGCAGATGACATAATCTGCCACCAATGATCTTATTTCAAGTGACAATCAGTGCAAGCTAAAAATCAGAGCCCGGCTATCTGAATGGTTTTGTATGTTTTGTGTCGTTGCTAGCAAAAACAGTGAGGAGACAACAGCTTTGAGAAGAGATTTGTAAGCGCTGGATCCCGGTTAACCTGGGAACGTTGCTAAACAGGAACCAGGTCTCAAATGGAAACGGTTATCAGAATGGTGGATACAGATTATCTCTAAATGCCACATTTTGAGCGGAAAGCCTCTGTTATAAACTGGAGGCACCGCCATTTGAAATGATAGTTGGAAAAAGGAAGGATACATTATTACGGAAGTATTACCTATACTACATCAGTTTTGGGCCGTTCTTTTTAAACACTTGTCACGTGTCCCCCAACTATGTAGTACTAAATCACTGGAGAACCCCTTTTAGGAGATGATTTAGAGTATTATACTTGACCTAAGCTCCATAGATATACACTTCAAAGTCGAGATGTACTTTATTATTTTACATGATCATTGAGATTGTGTCTTGACAATTACTGTGTATAGAAAAATATCTATGTGGCTGACCTGACTGAGGAACTGGTTACGTCTCCTGCACAAGCCCTGGCCTGGATTCGGAAAGGAGAAAGTAAGACCTGAGGTTATTACAGAACAGAAGAATCATCCCCACATAGTGTGCACTGCAGACTGTGACAACAACGTGTTTTCTGCCTAATCTGCCTCTGTAGAGAACCGTCACTATGGAAAGACTAAAATGAACCAGCGGAGCAGCCGCTCACACACCATTTTCAGAATGGTAAGCAACACCACAACATACAGTAACATGCAGGATTCTGAGCAAATATGGATTTCTCACCATTTAGCTTTCCTTAGATCCTGGAAAGCCGAGAGAGGAGTGACCCAGCATCAGGCGAAAATGCTGATGGAGCCATTATTGTGTCTCATTTGGTACGCTACCTCATTTTTATTATTGACTTGTTTTCTATGTTTGTGTTGTAATAATAATTAAAAAAATGATTGCTTCCTCTTCTAGAATTTAGTTGATCTAGCTGGATCTGAGAGAGCAAGTCAAACAGGAGCTGAAGGTAAGGTGGAGTTAAATCCATAAACTATTGGTTGAAGCTGCGTGATATGTTTGCTAGGCCTGATATGTGTGTACTGAGTTTACAGTGACCTGTCTGTTTTGATATCCTAGGCACACGTTTCAAAGAAGGTTGCAACATCAATCGCAGCTTGTTCACACTTGGCCAAGTTATCAAGAAACTGACAGATGAAGGCCAGAAGTGAGTAAAGAATGAACACGCAGTGCACTTATTGCACTTGTATAATATAACTTACGGTTTCTACTATGAATTGTACATGTCATACATTATGTAATTGTTTGGGTTGTACTCTCTAGCACTTTTACTGAGAGTTTCAACATTTTAGAAAATATGTGTATCTGCTTCCTTTCTGAGAGTGAAATAAGAAGCTGGAACTATTTCTTAAAAACAATAGTGCATCCATCCACCAAGTACTCTGTACGAGCACAATGGAACCAAACCTGACAAGTGTTTTACCTAGAAATAGTTCTCACTGAAACCACAAATAGTTGTTTTTACATTTGTGTAGAGATACAATGTGCTTGTCAGCTTTAGAGGTTCTCGTAAGTGTATTTTACTTTGGACAGAGCCATGCTAGCTGTTTCCCCAGTTTCCTTTCTATATGCTAAACTAGGCTTGTCCTAAGTCCATGTTCTTTTTACATTGATAACTGAGGCATCAGATTAGAATGTTGACTATTTGAGTTTTTTTTTTTTATTTTTTTTTTATTTTTTTATTTATTTATTTATTTGTTTATTTGGCCTTTCAAATTGTTTATTATTATTTATCTGGACCTGATGTCAGAGCAACAAGAAACAGTTTTTAACAGCCTCGTGTTTGCAAATATGATTCTTTCTCTTCAGGGGTTTCACCAACTACAGAGACAGTAAGCTAACCCGAATCCTGCAGAACTCCTTGGGTGGGAATGCTAAAACAGTCATCATCTGCACCATTACTCCTGTTACTCTAGATGAGACCCTCAGTACACTGCAGGTTGGTGATATATGCACATTTCTGTCCTGCACATTTCTGGACCTTTTTAAAACAACAACTAGCAGAGTGAACATGAGAAATACACCAGATGATGTTACAAAAAATGTGCATGTTTTATCAGTTTGCCAGCACTGCAAAGAAAATGAAGAACGACCCTCATGTGACGGAGGTGTCCGATGACGGGGCTCTGCTCAAAAGGTATCGCAATGAAATTGTAGACCTCAAGCGACGTCTTAATGAGGCAAGTGTCACTTTTCTTCTATCAGTCAAGTTCTGTTTCGCAAGTTGCAAGTCACATGACAGCAGCACTTCTACACACTGACCTGTGGAGACACTCCCTACAGGTTTCTTCAGTCACACAGACCACAGCGACGGAGAAGGAGGTTCTCTCCCAGCTGCTCCAAGAGAAGGATCAACTCCAGAGAGAACAAGAGGACAGGATCAAAAACTTGACCAAACTGCTTGTGACCAGCTCCAACCTGGTTCCTGTTCAAAGGGTAAATATGACACAATAATGCTTAAGGTAGACTACAGCTTTCTCCTCATTATCATAGTCATAATGACCTGTGTCCTGTTTTTAAGATGCCCAAACGCAGGGTTACGTGGGGAGGAAAGATGCTCAGACTTGCCCGTCAGTCTGGCTGTGGACCATCTGACCTCAGCTTTGCAGAATCTTTCACTCGGAAGAGGAAAGCAGACCGCTCCTGTCTGATGGAGCTGGGTGAAGGTAAGGAGGAAATAAATGCACACTGCAAATCTCCTTATAATTCCCATTTTGTGCATAAACTGCACTATCTGTTAATGGTTGAATGCATGCACGGTATGTTTTAACAGATGATGAGGACTTTGATTCTCACTGGGGGATTCCTGATGAGCCGTCAGATGAAATGGAGATGAGTCAGGCCTCTGTGACTGTTCGAAGCTTTGGTGACAGGTGAATGTCTTTCTGCCAACAGTCCTCAGAGCAAATTTAAAGGTCCAGTGTGTAACATTTAGGATGGAGGATCTACTGTAAGAACTGGAATATAATATTTATAGGTAGTGTATAATGACACACATGAAAATACTGGCTCTAGATAGGACCTTCTGCATGCCCAAGTTACACGGCCACTGTAGTTTCTCCTACACACTTAACAGCCTGTTCTCAGTTCAGTTAATCTAAAATCCTTTCCCAAATAGAAGGCCGTATAATATTAGTGATAAAAATCATTAACATTAACTTTTTTTGAGTCGTCAGAATCGGAAATCCCCTGGTCTAATACAACTGGTTATAGTTGACATGTTTCTGTGGTCTCACAGTATGTATATCACCCCACCGTGAGATTATCATTAGGGTTTAATCATCCATAATTCACTTCCCCAGTAGCTGCACAAACCCAAATTATACTTTAAAGTATCTACATGACTTTGAGGGTCTTTGTACAGCCCAACATTTATAACTGTGTGTCTGTTTTTGAAACCCAGTATAGTATAAACAGAACTGTATGCAAATCTGCCCCTCAATCTGTGGCACACCTCACCTTTATACTTATGAGCCCCTAAATGCCCTCTGTATGTACTTATCCTGTATACTCCAGCTAATCTTAACTAACATAGCTAATGCTAGTCTTTAAATGTTGTTTTACAGTTGTTGAACAAGTTTTTAACCTCTATGTTTTATCTTTTTTCCAGTCCCAAAGACTTTGTGTCTCCTGACCGGATGCGGGAGCTTTCTGGGAAAGTGTCTCACCTTGAGCTGCAGCTGGAAATGGAGAGTCAACAAAAAGAGGAGGCAATGGCAAAGGTAGAAACATTAGATGGAAAAGTGACAGAGCTGCAGCTGCAACTGCAAACAGAGGCCCAGCAAAAACAGGAGGCCTTAGAGAAAATACAGACTGCAGAAAAGAGGGCAGCCGAGCTGGAGCTGCAGCTGCAGCTGCAAACAGAGTCCCAGCAGAAACACGAGGCCTTGGAGAGCATACAGATGGCAGAACAGAGGGCAGCTGAGCTGGAGCTGCAGCTGCAAACTGAGGCCCAGCAGAAACAGGAGGCTGCAGAAAAGGTGGAGATGTTGGAGTTCAGAGTGGCAGATCTGGAGAGACAGCTGGAAGAGCAGAGCTACACTCAGAGTGTGAGTGATGAACAGGTGTGCTGTGTTCAATATACCTGCTCTCTGGTCTCCAAGTAAGAGGAGAAATCCTCAGTCCTAATCCTAGAGGATGCTTGTCCACCTCATCATGAGACCATTGATTTCTATCTGACTTGGTTGTGTTTGCTGGTTTTCATGCTAATCTTATACCGTTTTTTCCAGATGAGAAGAGAGTTTGCAGAGACCATCCAGCTGTGTGAAAGTCTGGCTTCAGAGAAGGTAATGCTTGATGGAGCGCCTCCACTTTTCAACATTTGTTAGCTAGCTTAAGATGCTAAATATGTTGCTTTTATCTTTAAACCATCTTTAAAATGTGCTTGTCTTTTCAACACAGGTTAGCGTAGCACATAGAATATCTAAGTACAGGAAAGGAAAAAGTGGACCAAGGTTCTGTCTTGTTTAACTGTTATTGGAGCACAGAGCAAAAAGGGGCGGGATTTAGGAGGGGCAATGAAATTTAATTTGCGTTTAAAGGCCAAAAGTCTTTGCCATATTGAATATTTGTTGCACAATTTACGACAACAATAGCTATATAACCTTATGCTCATGGATGACTTGTTTATTTGTATAATTTTTTGCAACATCTGCTAAAAACAGTTGGAAACGCTCACTGCTGCTTAAATTGATCAAATTGTGTGTTAAAGGAAATGGTGGTTGGTGAGCGAGACTATCTGAAGCAGGAGCTGGGGATGTTCATAGAGCAGACTGAAAGCCTGGAGAAAGAGAAAGCTGCTCTGGCACAGGAGCTGGAGGAGAGGAGAGAGCTGGACGAGTTCAAGTCTCTGGAGGAGGAGTTCAAGAAGGAGCACGAGGTAAAGCTTTGACTCCACTCCACTGATCCAAGGACAGGAGAGTTGGATGTATTGGGTTTGGCTTTGTTTGAATAGTTAATACGTCTTTTTTTTTTTTTTTTATGATTTCTGTGATATTTATAGATGTACTGTATTTGCACTGTTCATTTTGTTTGTGTGATCTTATAGAACGAGTTGCAAAAGGAAATATCTCGCTTGAAGAAGGCTGTCGAAACCTCTGAACTCCAGTGCCTGGAGCTTCAGGTAAGATGACATGCTGGTGTAAACCTCCTCAGGTTTATTAAAGGTCCTATGTGAAGGATTTAGTGGCATCTAGCTGTGTAGTTGCAACTCCCTTGCTTCCCCTTCACCTTCCAAGCAACAAAGGTGGTGGCGGTGAAATGCTAAAACGAGTGTCTGGTTTGTCCCTTCTGGGCTACTGTAGAAACATGGTGGTCTCCATGGAAGGCGACCTGCAACGTCTGTAGATTAAAAGAGCTCATTCTAAGGTAACAAAAATGCAACTATTCTTATTATCAGGTGATTATACACTAAGGTCCAGTGTGAAAAGTTGAGGAGGATCTATTGTCAGAAATGGAATATATGATTGTGTTATCATTGGTGTGTAATCACCTATAGGAATATAGGAATCATTATGTTTTTGCTACATTAGAATGAGGCTTTTATACAGATGATACAGGTACACCTGGAAGTGCCATGTTTCTGCAGTAGTAACACTGGCTTCAGATAGGGGCATTAGTGTTTCTTGCGCCCACCGTAGTTTCTCCTTCGTGCTTGGAACAGGAGGGTGAAGTGAGGGAGTTGCAATGTGCAACCAAACTGCTAAATGCCACTAAATCCTACATAATGGTCCTTTAGAGCTAACAGTTTATGTAAAGTGTCAGTAATAGAACACGCAAAAACAAACTTCTTGTCATTTCATGTATCACAGTGTTTACTGCTGCTCTTTTAAGCCCTTTACTGCATGACGAACAACAAATATGTACATTGGGAAGATGTTTATTATTCCTCTATTCATTACAATCCAGAATCCAAAAATTGTGTCAGTTTTCTTAAATAGCTTTTATACTTTTGTTTTTTAAAGAACAAACTAGAAACTCTGTCTGAAGATCTGAAGAAGAAAAGTGACTTTGCAGAGGAACTTCAGAGTATGGTATGTGTGTTTTCAATTGTTATCCTATCACCTGTAAAAATCCAGGTATAATTCAGGGTACATCATGAAACCCGTCAACATGACTCTTTTAGCAGAGTTAATGTCAGTGAAAGCATTGGGTGATAGAGTTACAAACCATGTTTACAAAATGATAAAGGGATTATTATGGATATGTACAATTGGTCCTTTCAGAAGACAGCACGTTGGTAAAATGATATGGACGGAATATTTACAGGTCTACTCTACTCTAGTGGGAAGGAGCTTTAAACATGAAGGCTTTCTTAGCCATTGGCTTAGACACTTAGGGCCCAGATGATAAATACCAGGGAGGTTTTAGTGAGCTGTCTAAATGTCTGCAGTGTTTCTGAGCTTCAAATGTGTCCACTAACATCTTTAAATCTTTTGTTTACTGGAAAATTGCTCCTATCGGTCAAAGATTCATATGCTGATCAAGATTCTGTAATCTGATGTTTTTATGACAGCCGTCTGGGGCTTTTCTGGAGTTAATTAATTAGACTGCTATTTATATAATTGTGTGTGAGTATCAGTGAGATAAGAGACTTGTTTTTCCAGTCCTTGAAACACCTGGAAATTGTTTAAAATGACCAAATATCCTGGAAATAATCTGTTATCCTGGAACATTTTAATTGTATTTTAGCCCCTCACTCAGATCACATATGCAAACCCAGGTTAAAGAGTAACTGTAGTCAATTCACTGGAGACAGCAGAAAAATCATTGTCAAATTCCGAATAAGGTATCGGAATCTCAGAAAAGTGGATTGGTGCATCTCTTGTCATCTGTCCTGAAGCAGGCTAATATTGTCATGTTGCCTCCTTGCAGAGCGATAAGGACTTGGTGCAGGAGGTGGCGAAGCTTCGTCGCTCTCTGGATGATGCAGAGGGGGTCAGCAGAGACACAAAGAAGGAATGGGCTGTCCTGCGCAGTCAACACATCGCTCTGGAGGAGGAGAATGTAAGTGGCATTAACACGTTTGTCGTCTAATAATCTACTGAAAAGTTAAAGGGTAAATGGACTGCATTTAAATAGTGCCTTTGTCTCCTGACCACTCAAAGGATATTATACTTATCTATATCATATGTACCACAGTTATAAATATCGCTGTCTTTTTTTTTTATCTTCTTGTCATGGTCTCTCCAGGTGACTCTGACTGCCAATCATGAGAAGCTGGATGCTGAGGTGAACAGCCTGCGCTTTCAGCTTGAGACAGAGAAGTCACGCTACAGAAAGATGCAGAGCGACCTCCAGAAAGAGCTGAACGTCGCGTTTGATGAGAACACCAAGCTCACCACTCTGCTAGATGGAAAAGTACCAAAAAGTAGGTTTAAAGTCAGGCTGTTTATAATGTCACTCTGCTAATCAGGTTGTGATTATGTACATTCAGTCTGTAAAATCAGATGGGAGCTGTAAGATGTTCTTTGTGTGCAGATCTGATAGACAGTGTGGAACTTGAGAGAACAGTGACAAGCCTGAATAAAGAGCTGACGGCATCTCATGAAGCAGAGGAAGCCCTCAAAGCTCAGCTGGAGGAACTGGCTTCATTACAGACTCTTCCAGATAAGGTGGACCATTTGATGAAGCAGGTTGGAATACCAAACATCTTCTTGTGTCAAACTGAAATGGAGAGCATTAAATCAGGTGTAATCATGTGAGCTCATTCTGTGTCGTCTCAGGTGTGCGAGCTGACCGAGAAGCTGTGCACTATTGAAACTCACAGGAACAGCCTGCTCTCAACCCAGGCTCAGTGTCAGGAGGAGGCTCAGCAGCTCAGAGACTCCCTGCAGACCTCCCAGGATGAGATTCTGAAGATTCAGGCAGACCTGAGCGCTGCTGCACTGAGGGAGAAGGAGCTGAGCCAGCAGTGTGCTGATGTAACACAGCAGCTGGATTCCCTTCGCTTAGACCTAGAGTGCTCTGTTGCTGAGAAGAGTCAGATCATGGCTACCATTGAAGAGACGGGCTTGAAAGTAAGATGTGGAATGTAATTGGGTGCGCTTCAATCGTGATTCAAAATCCCACCTTCTTAGCTTTAAATCTTTTAGGTTTTTATTTCCTGTCAGTAGAAAATTGGCCCTGATTGGTTTTACTTCTGCCTTCATCGGCTATAAGCAAACACACCGCCCTCTAGTTTCACAGCAGACTGTTATTGCTTAAGTATTGGAATGGACTCTATAGGCAGATAACCATTAATACAGGACTTTTAACTCTGATTTTATGCATATGGTGGTGTGTTCTTTACACTATGACAGTTTCTTAAAATTTTATTTTCAAAACGCAGCACATCGCCTTGCTGACAGTATCGCAGTATATTGAATCATAACCCCTGTATCATGATGTGCATGGTGTCACCAGATTCTTGTAGTACACAGTCCTAACCACAAAGGTAATCACTGTAATGATTTCATTTTAGCTGGAGGAGAGTGAACGACACAGAGCATCACTGGAAGAAAAAGTGAAGGAGGTGCAGCAGCTGATGAAGGATTTGGAGGAGAAGCTCGCTGACAGTGAAGTTTCCAGAGCCACAGAGGAGGAGATCAGCAAAGAACTTCAAGAACAAGTATGACATTGATGGTCCTTTAATTAAATGAGATATGACTTGGTTAGTTGATTTCTTGAACACATAGACATAATGTTACTTGTCAACCTTGCTATATGTCATCTTATCTGGTTAGTTGTGTTTAAAACTGTAGATCAGTTAAAGGATAAAAACGGTAGTATTTTCTACCACCTCGTATAATTGATTTCAAGGGGAATCCGATCTGGTGGCAGGCAATCTTCTCTCTGATTGTCTTGGGTATTTATGAAAGTCATATAGAGGCATCAGTTGATCAAATTCATCAAATTGAGACTGTAACCAGTTAGAAATTCCTTGTAGTATGTTCAAGTAGTACTGCCATAAATGTGTTTGTCTTTATTTGGATATTGTAGCTGAACCAGCTTACTGAAGAGCTTCACTGTGTGCGAGCAGAGAAAGAGCAGAATGCTGGTGCTCAGAGCTCTGCAGAGGAGATGGAGAAGATGCTATCTAAAGTTGCATCTCTCACAGCAGAGAGAGACCAGCTCAAGATGGACCTGCAGGAAAACGTCGAGATGGTGAGTTAACATGTGACTGCTTTGCCAAATGCGTTCATTTCTGTCAGCTGTGTTGGGCCTCTGCTGTTTGTTTTTGTCTCTGCATGTCAAAAGATTGTTTTGTTTTTTACCATGCAGATGATTGAGAATCAGGAGGAGCTGCGGACAGCCCTGGAGAAGAGTCGTGAACAGAGGGAGCGGATCAAACAGCTAGAGACTGCACAAACATCCAAACAGGATGGTCCTCCTAATGACACGGGTGCACAGCAAGAGGAGCTGCAAACACGTGTAAGGGTTTCTTGATAAATCAGGAAAACTAGATCTCTTTATTTAACGAGTTTAATTAACATAGTATTTTTTAACCTAATTCTTCTTTAAAGTTATTAATTATACCTAGACTTCAGTTCCTTTCTTTGAGAAATATAGTTTATAGTATAGATAGTGTAGTTTCAATACACAAAGTTTAAATCTTCTGGAAGATTAAATATGCACTGTTTACATAAATCCTGATGAGTAGTTTTCACCATTTAACAGATTCAGACTCTGACTGAAGAGCTTGAGAGTGTGCGAGCAGAGAGAGACGGCCTGCTGCCTGAGAGGACGGCGGACAGTCACAGCGAGGAGACGGAGAAGCTGCTGCACAGAGTGAAGTCTCTCAGTGAGAGCTGCCAGGAGATACTGGAGGGACTGAGACAGGAGAAGAAGCAGCTCAGAGCAGAGCTCGGAGGACAGGATGGAAACCACCTACACACACTACAGACTGAGGTTTGTAGCTTTAATTCTATAAAATCCATCTATTGTAGGGCTGCACACATTTTTTGTACACATAATTGCAGTTGTAATAAAACATTAGGATCATAAACTGTTAAAGTGGCAGCTGGCGTTGAGGAGACACATGAATAATCAGTTGAACTGCTCCCTACCGCACAGATCTGGACTCTCACTGAGAAATTGAGGAGTGTTGAAGCAGAGAGAGACGGCCTGCTGTCTGCGAGGACAGCCGACAGTCACAGCGAGGAGACGGAGAAGCTGCTGAGCAGAGTAACGTCTCTCAGTGAGGAGAGAGATCAGCTGCAGGAGATACTGGAGGGACTGAGACAGGAGAAGAAGCAGCTCCAGGCAGAGCTGGAGGACAGGATGGAGATGGTATGTACACAGAGTGTCTTCTGAAGTGTTCATGTATGACTGATTATTTCACGTCTATTGAATCCCAGTCTGCCCAATAAGAGAAAAGGAAAAAGTGCTGTTTTCTGTCGCAGGTTGCACAAGCCCAAAGTGGGTTTAACCAGCCAGAAATACAGACCTCAGAACTGCAAGCTCATGACAAGAAAGTAACCCAACTTCAGCAAGAGGTAACAGCAGTTGACTAATAAATCTGGTGATATTCTATTTTTCTGATTGTCAATAAATCCCATTAAAAGAGCAGAATTCACAATAAATGTATCCTAACAAGTATGATGTCTGTACACTGTCCTGCTGCCCCACATACTCACTAGAGCACCAAATGTAGATTAATCCACCACTGAAAATAATCCCCAGTTCCTCCCTCCTGTTTTAGTAGTTTTTGATTAAAAAACTAAAGTGAGCAGCTGTTTAATCAAAAGATTGAACTTTGTTTTTAAAAAAATTCCATCTTTAGTAAGAACCAATGGGCTTGGAGCAGAGAGCCACAGATATTAAGGATGTCAGAGACGGACTAACACCTTTTTGACGTTTTGGTCTCTTGATAGGATTTGTTGGCAATAAGATAAATATGGATTGAATATTTAAATCATGGAATGTGTTCATTTTCCTCCACAGGTAGAGCAACTGCAGGCCACTTTACAGGCCGTCAGTGAACAAAAGAGCCAGCTGGAAGATGAGCTGAAGAGTAACATGGAGATGGTGAGTGGAAGTTGATTGTGGTCAAACCAAGATCTAACCTTTTGATGTTAAATGGCTTGTGCTCACTATGCAGTGTTCCATTTGTATGATTAAAAAAAAGGCCCCTTTTTTTCCTCTACTTTTTAGGCAACAAAGACTCAAAGCCTTCTACATTCACTTCACCAGCAGGTCCAAGAGCAGAACCAAATAAACATTGACCTGGAAAGACTAAGCCAAGAGAGGCAAGCTCAGCTAGAACAACAGGTTTGTTCCTTGAAGTGTATTTGACTAAAGGTGTATGTCTAGATGGACTTTTTCTATTCAATTACAAGGTGTTGTCTTATTTTAGGTTGCAGAGACTCAGGATCTTCTACATTCTCTTCAAGAGGAGCTCCAAGAGCAGAAGCAAAATAACTCAGATCATATGAAACTCTGTGAGCAGAAGGAGTCTGACTTAGAGCAACAGGTGAGTTGAAATGTTGATGAAGGATATTTCTTCAAACTGATCTTTAATTTTCAGCATTCTGCCAGTTATAAATCTTTCCATTTAAACAGACAAAGACTTTAAGCGAACAGCTTGAGAGTGCACGAGCAGAGAGAGATGCTATGTTGTGTGAGAAGGAGACTGGCTGTCAGAGGTCCACAGAGGAGATGGAGAAGCTGCTGAGCAGAGTGACGTCCCTCAGTGAGGAGAGAGATCAGCTGCAGGAGATACTGGAGGGACTGAGACAGGAGAAGAAGCAGCTCCAGGCAGAGCTGGAGGACAGGATGGAGTTGGTAAAAACAACAGTCCCAACAATAATGTTCTCAATCTGTTCCAATGTGAAATAATCAAATATCAAAACATTTGAATTTAATGATTAAATATCTGCAGTTCTGTTTTTAAAATCAAAATCCTTCATAGTGAGAAATCCCAGGAATCCTGGCAAAAGAGTGATTACATTCCCACACAGGTCACAGTGTTCTCTTTCTGTTTTTCAGATGCAGTGTGACTTCCAGCAGCAGCTCAGCGCTGAGCCGCAGTCACTCGAAGAGAAGCAGGAGGCTCAACAAGTTGTGCAGGTTAGATCATTTCACTCATTCTCATTGTTACACATGTTTCATTTTACTTTTTTCATTCAGCTATTATCTTAAAGGGGATTGTGAGAAAATCTGACGAATATCTGAATGGCGCTTTAGATCCAACAGCTCGAGGAGCATCTGGATAAAACAAAGGAGGAGCTGAACCAGATGAAGTCTGATCTTCAAGAAAATGTAGAACTGGTGAGTGTTTTTTGTTTGTTTGTTGTTGGTTTTTTCCAATTACTACACATTGGGAATTTTAATCAGAGAAAAGGCATAGTGATGTGGTAAATGGTAAATGGACCTGTACTTGTATTTACAAAAAAAAAATATATATATATATATATATATAAACATATTTGTTAAGCTGGAACTAACCATTTTGTCTCGAAAAATGACTGAAACTATGAATTTACTATCAAAACAGTTGTAGATTGATTTTCATTTGATTAATTAATCTGCAGCTTGTCAGGTTGTTGATGGTAGACTGTTGACCTCATGACTGTACACGAATTTTTAGGGACTGGTATACTCATGTGATGGTAATGGGTTTCAGATGATCGAGAACCAGGAGGAGCTGAGGGTGTCTCAGGAGAAGATCCGAGTTCTACAAGATGAGATCAACATGCTGAGGAGTCAAAAGGCAGAGCTGGAGAGCAGACCAAGCAATGGGAGTGATGCAGAGAATACCCTCCAGTCACAGGAGCCCCAAAACCAGGCAGGACCACATTTTTATACATAAAGAATGACCCTGCTGCTTGATGCTGGTGCTCGACTCTTGAATAGATCAAATGATTTTAGACATGTTTTTGTATTACTCAAAAAGCATCTGAACACATGATGAATGTTAGCCAGATTTTTGCAAGCAAATCTAGACATAATAGTCATGTCATTCCCAGTATTCAACATTACAATTGTCGCCATTCTCTCCTGACAGATTCATCGGCTGACCGAGGAGCTTGAGAGTGTGCGAGCAGAGAGAGACGGCCTGCTGTCTGAGAGGACGGTGGAGACGGAGAAGCTGCTGCACAGAGTGAAGTCTCTCAGTGAGGAGAGAGATCAGCTGCAGGACACACTGGAGGGACTGAGACAGGAGAAGAAGCAGCTCAGAGCAGAGCTGGAGGACAGGATGGAAACACTACAGACTGAGGTTTGTGTCCTGCGTATCTACCTGCAATGAAGCAGCTAACAAAAAAGAGGAGGGTGGTGAACTTGAGGTGATTCTAGAGTGATGATTCTTTAGTGTTTAGCACAGATATATTGGTATCAGGCATTTATTTTTT